ATAAAGAGAAAGAGAAAGAAAAAAAGACGGTCATGAGGGCAAAGTGAAAAGATATGTATACAGCACATAAAAAGTATAACAAAAAATACTACCTACATAAACACTCGCACCGGCTAAACTATAGTAAGGCGAGAATGAGAAGATGAGAGAAAGAAAGAGAGAGAGAGAGAGAGAGAGAGAGAGAGAGAAATAGAAGAGACAGGGAGAGTCTCGAGAATCTCGGAACGAGACCTTTCTCCGTGGCCGAATAAATTTTCTCGAGATTAAAGCTTTCAGCCGTCCGTAGAACAGCCCTCCGGAAGAAGAAACCGAGATTGCTGAATTCGGATAAGTTATCGCCATCGTCGAACTGTCCAGGGAGTGCCTAAGCAATTTCGTTGACCCCCTTCTTACTTCCCCACTCCTCCACTCCTTTTCGTATCCACTTCTTGCAACCAGCCGCGCACCTTCAGCGCGAAGAAATTGAATTTCATCCTCTTTTCCTCGGCAGGAGCCTGGCTCGGTGCCGTAAATTAATTTACGCAAATCTTCCGTGGGCATGAATTTTTCCAGCACTAATTTCCCCAGAAGCCAGCACGCTCCACGAGACACAGTCACACGGCGAAGGCAAGCCGTTACCACGGTAATTACCTTCCTACCTTCTTTCTGACTCGCCTTTTTGTCTCATAACCAAGTAACTATCTTAATTGCTTTTGCTTTTCTGGCTCTGGATACAGTTCTAGCTTCGTTCTATACACTACACCACCCCCACCCCCTATCCGATCCGCACTCTTTTATCTTATTTCATTTCTTCTCTCCCTTTTTAGGCTCTCTTTCTTTTTTCCTGTATTTCCTAGTACCCTCTTAGAATCCATTTCAGATTCTACTCCCCAAAACGACGAGGTCTTTTTTTTCTTTTTTTTTTTGAAAATTTGTCTTTCATTCTTTCGGTATTAAATCGTTGGTTTATATATTATAAAGTTCGTTATTCTATTTTTATTTTTAAATCAACGTGAAAGCTCGTAATACGAGGATAGAAAATTTATCGGATGAAATTTAACACTCGGTAAGAAATAAGAACGTTAACAAGTTTCCATCGCCTATTTCATAATTGGAAAAGAGATAGTTGTTAAGGCATTTGTTTTAATGCGTTTTAACCGTTTTCTTTCGGTTTTCTTTCCGTTTATAGTGAAGTATTTTCTCTCCCTCTCTCTTTCTCTTCTCAATGTCCATATTTTATAACAACGACAAAACAGACATCAGGATAATAGAAGATATTTCGGTGGATTCACTGGAAGAAACTGCAGTAGCCTGTTAGAAAACTCTTTCTTTGTCAGCTTTAAGACGTTCTTGTAAGCTTTGTAATATACCTACGGTATTAAAGTTGATTTCAAGGACTCTGCTTGATTCGAGTAGCTATTCTACTTTTAACTCGAAGAAATGGAAGTAGCGTGGCTGCCACTTTATGACGAGTAATTAAGGTAGCAACGAGAGAAAGAGAGAGAGAGAGAAAGAAAGAGAAATGGAAAATGATAATGGAGAAGGTACAGAAGACACGAAGAAAGACAAATACATTGGTGTTCACGAGACTTTAGACAGACGTCCTAAATATTCGTCTAGATTGTTAACGTTCTCTTATTTCATCCAAGCTTTCTCTTTCAGCCATACTACTAGAAGATGTACTATTAAACATTATTAGACTCATAACGTTGAAGTTTACCGTATAGACTATTACAACCTTTCTAATTATGATGAATGAATTCGTCCTCGTTGCCACATATACTTTATTTAATATTAAAAATAAGTTACTTAAAAATAATAAGAATGATGTATAATATTTACATGAGATTCAGGTTAAATTTTTCTTTCCTCTATAAAAATTAGACCTACGCCGAAAGGTTCTTAGAAAGAAAGCAAGAAAGAAGGGAAGAAAAAAAAAGATGATAAAATCGTAAATCGGTGGAGTCGCATTAATTCGCTTCTGTAGTAACGTATGTTCGAAAGGAAGTTCGGACGATCGAAGTTAGTATGAAAAATTCCTATATATATTTCGCGCTGTCACGAACGTGCTAGCGGAATGGCAACGGGCGTTATCAACTGCCGGAAAAGTTTTTACATTATGTTAACCTGCGCGCGAAATGGGCTTCTATGACCAAAGAGTAGATGAGGAGGATGACAGAAAGTTTAGGCTGCCCATCTTCTTCCTCTCCTTTTATTTCTTTCTTTCTTACTCTCTCTCTCTCTCTCTCTTTCTCTCTCTTGTCTGAAGAAAACGTTATTCTCTCGTGAGAGAAAGAACAAAACTTCGCTTACAATTCTTATTTTATTCTCTTTTAGTTTTGTTCACGATTTCCTTTTTTTTTTGTTTGTTTTCTTTTTTTTTTCATTTAAATATTTCCTCGAAATGAATTTAGATTCTTATTCTAATCTGAGGAAACTAGCAACATCATTGAGGTCAGATACATTAAAATTAGAGTGTAATATAAAAATGTAAGGATTACTTTTTGGTAGGGATATTAAACAACAACGTTTCTAAAACGGCAAATCTCCGGATGAGAAACTTCCTTTTACGATATTTATACGGATCTTGGAAGCAACTCTCCGCTCCGTATAATCCACCGGCAAGTTAATGAAGCCTCATTATTCACTTGTCAGCCTTCTAAAGAGTGTATCTTGAATGACTTCATAGTTTATACTTATATCTTGCTCCAATCCTGAGAAAATCGTTTCATAGGCCAAGAGGATTAAGAGTTGTGAATTTAAAAAAAAAATCTTCTTTTCGAGACCATTTCATTAATTTCTTTTAATACTCGTATTTTGTAATATTTTTATTTTTATTTTATTTATTACATTAGCTCCCAAACGGTTTATCTTCAAACTATAGAGGTTCTACAGGTCAATTATTTTATTCAGTCATTTCGTTTTATTAAATAAAAAAAGAGAGAAAGAGATAGAAATTGCTATTTTTTTGTTGCGAACGTGTATACGCCAGATGCAAAGTTTGGTTTGGTAAAGAGGGATGAAGGATTGCAGAGGTGGATCGACACCTCTGGGAGAGAAAGTGCGGTATCGAGATATGGCTGGTTGAACCAAACTCGCACTTTATGCACGTATGAGTACGTACGCGTGCTTCGAATGCTTCCAACGATCGCGTTGCTCCGGAAATTTAATACCGAAACACTTAACGGGGCAGAGCTCCGTTGACCTTTCACTTTGGATAGTTTGATTCCCCGATAATTGACCGATAGAGTTCGCATCTGTTCTGAGCATCCTGCATGAAAAAGAGCAAAACTTAATCGTCTTTTCCAAAATTCTCTTATCGTCATTTTAAATTTAATTATTTCATTTCTCTCTTCTATATTTTTACTTTCATCGAAAACATTATATTCTTTTTCATTTTCTATTAGAGAATGTTGACAATTATTTGTCCTTATTCAAATTTTTCTGTATCGTTTAAAAATGAAATATTTTAACAAAGTTCATGAGATTCTTGATAATTAAATGAGATCATTAAAATAAATACAAAAAGCAATTGAAGTTATTCGTTTTGTTGTACCATTATTTTATCTCTTTTTTTTCCCCTACGAAAATTGTTCGTGGAAGGAAGAGAAAGAAAACGATTGGTGGTAAGAATTTATCTGTTGTGGCAACACAAGACACAGGTAGTCGTACTTAGTCGGCTTATCTACTACTCGTAAACTTGCCAACGATTAGCATCACTAGTGTAGCTCCATTGGACTGTCGTTAAGAAATAAAAAAAAGAGAGAGAAAAAAATAGAGTAAGAGAGAGTGGAGAGACAGGGAGAGAAAAAGAAGAGATTGGTAAGGTGAAAAGAAAAGGAAGAGTATTTGCTTGGAATAAACTTGAGAAGTTTGCGGTAATCGTATAGCACCGTTGCCATAAGAGGAAAGATCGTGAATCGGACTGGTTGCCTTATTTGTAGTAAGGGATAATTAAGTTTGTACGGTGGACGTTAGATGTTTTCTCTTTTTTTCTTTTATTTAAGACTTACTATTTTACGTGATACGAGAAACTATGGAGTTTGAGAGAAAGTTTTATTTTAACCTCGAAATATTTTTCTTTCGCGTGAAGATAAAAGTAGAAAGTAAAAAAGCAAACAAAGAAAATGCTAGGAAATAATAAATAAATAAAAGAAAAAAAAATACGTATAAAAAGAAAGTAAAACAAAAAAGATAGAAAATTTGAAAAGCATCCACAATATTTATACGTCCAAACGGAATCGTTCGTAATCAATGCGAAAGCACGCGAGCGAGAGTATGATCCCAGGTAGATATTAATCCGGTTACAAACGTACGGCTAATAACGCAACGAGTTACATTGCATAAAATTGGTACGCTTGTGAATCCTCTGGTCGTTTTATTTGATGCCGAGGGAAATAGTAGTGACAGAGTTTGCCTGGATCATACTAACTCGAATTCGTTTCTCCTTTTTCCATTTCTCTCGCATTTCATATTTCATAGTTTTTCTCGTATTTTTAATATTGTTACGTTTGGTGTATATGTATGCACTTTTCATACATATGCACGATAGTTTGAAAAAAAGATTACTATCAAGGGGACGGTTTGTTTGTTATCCTCATTTTCGAAATCAACAAAAATAGGATCTTTGTTGCACAATCGTATGATTTTAAATTGACCACGATGTATTAACGATGAGATTTATGTTTGTATTATGAGTTTCTGTTTTTATATTAATGATTCGTTTATGAATTATTCAATTTATTAGAACATACGTATATTATGTTTGTGTAAAGTTGGTATTTGCTTAGAAAGTATTGAAAAATGAATGAGAATTTTTTGGTTTTGTAATATAGTTGTAGATTTCTTAATGTATTCGCAATGGTGGAAAATAAAAGAGAACAGAAATTTATATGTTTGGATGTACTTAAGTATATATGATATTTTACGATGTCATATAGTTTTCAGTAACTAACGAAAAGTCTGCAGTTAAAATGAATAAACAAAGTTATTTAGATTAATAGATCGACCTTCGTCTTTTCAGATGCCATGAATTCGTTGGTCGAGGAGCTCGTCGTTGAGGCTGGCAAGAACGTGACGTTGAGTTGTCCAGGAGTGACGGAAGACTCTCTGGTGTATATGCTCGAGTGGCGAGCCGACGGTATGCAACTGCTCGAGTGGCGGGCTAACGGGATGCAACTCGAGCACGCCAACAGAGGCACCGTTGTTCGGAGTCATCAGAATAGGGTGTTTCTCTCTTTGAAAAATTACGCTCTACAATTTCATCCTGTCACAGCAACGGACTCGGCCAAGTACGAGTGCCTGATAAACAATCGTAGTACACCGGAAGCCGTTATTAAGCTCATCGTTCAAGGTGAGTTACTTATTTTTTAATTATTACTTTATCAATACTTTTAGAAAAATATTTTCTTTTCTTATTGTTTTTTTCTTTTTTTGTGTCACCATATCGTAGTCCGCACAAAAAGTGAGATTTTTAAGCTAGAATACAAAATAATCCACAGTAATTTGAATCTGTATATGTAAATTACATTTGCTCATCGAGAAGCGAAAACAAAGATTTTGTTATTTTTGAAGAAATCTCAACCTAGAGTCTAATAACTCTATATGCGTTGGGTATATATGTACTTAGAAGAACATTGTAATAACAAACTCATGCGTCAAAATATCCCTATTTCAACTCTGGCACGATGTCCGAGAAATTCGTAGATGCGCAATGTATTTATTCTTGATATACCAACTAGTTTTGGAATTTCCATCCATCTATGCACGTTGATTCGACACATTAAATTATTTTCTTTCTATTAGCAAGAGCTAATTCGTATTGGTTACTCGTTGTTTCGTGAAGGCAAGTAGTAGTAGTTCGAAAAGGTAGTGATTGCAGAGTTACTAGAAATTGCTTTTAGTTAAGGGAAATTTAGGAAACCTTACATGTAGATCTATAAGGACTTTCAAAGGGTATCGCTCTACTAACGAAGGCAATTTGAAGGCCTTCTCAAAGTACGTTCCAACTACACACTAGTAGCGATCTTCTTGTAACCTCAATATCGTTGTTTCAACGATATTGGATAAACTTGCCGCGAGGGGTTGCATTCTCCGTTCGAATGTGAAAATGGTCTTCGTAACGGTTGAGATAATTATACATTTTCTCTAATTATCTATCTGGCTATTACCATATCATAGCTCTCATCGAAGTTGAGGCCAACTCGGTCAACGCACTTCGATTTTCTTCCAAAATCGATGCGTTCCAGTCTAAGGTATAGTAGGAACATCATGCATATTCTTTCCGGCAAAATCTTCCCGTGTTTCTTTTCGAAGAATAGAGACATTACCAAGTACAAATGCAGTTCTTCTGTTCCTCCTTGCGTGGTTAAAAATGATGAAAACTTTTCGAGTGCACTTTCTATTGCTTTTAGCCAGCAGCTATACCCATCGAGAACACTTTTCCACACTTCCTTCGGAATATATCGATTTACTTTTCGCTTACTATCATGATAAGTAAAAACGAATCGTTTGTACTTCGACGACATTAAATTTTATTTCTTATCTCATCCGTCTACTACCTTTCTTCTTTTTTCTTTACTTTTTTTTTCCCCCGGTAATTTTCTCGATCAGTTCTCTCTTTCTTTCTCTACCTTTTCCCCCGTTTTTTTTTCACTTTTTTTTTCTTTACTTTCCAGAACCGCGTAATGGTCACTCTTTGATTCATTCACTGTGGTCGCAATTTGTGTTCGGGGAGCTAGTTCACTCGGAAAGTTTCCGAGTTTACACAAACTTCATGGTGAACTTTTTGGGAGAGTAGGAAGGGGAAAGGATTGGGTATGGCTGGCACCATCCCCTCTAACTACCTCGGTGCTCGACGATCTTCTAATGCTTTATTTTAAAACTCGGTTTCTACCCTTACGGAGTGTTTGCTTTAAGTATTTACGCCTGATTTGAATTCGTCACGTGTAACTCAACGCGTCAAGAGCAAACTTTTACTCCAAGGCGTGTCCCATAGTCGTTGGTATCACGAGAGAGAGCACGAGACCATAACTTCTATGCCATAACTTAACTTGTCTCGTTTCCCGAATATACAAAAAGAAAAGTAAAAAGAGGATGGATAAGAAAAAAGAAAAAAGAAAAAAAAGAAAATTAACGAAAGAAGTAAAAGCTAAGCTGATATCTCTAGCGTCATTTCTCATCCGTGTTACGTCGCGATTGATTCAAATTCGATGCACGATTCGTTGCGCTATTCGATTGAAAGGATCTCTCGAATTTCTGAGTGAAACGACGTAAAATTATGCGACGGTTACCATGCCTTCCAGCGAATCATCTTATTCATGCTTCCTCCAAATGCACGACGAACTCTCCTGGTTTTCTCGGATTTTCCTCTCGATATTACATGAACTCGATTTCATGTCGTCGGAGAATCGTTTATATCTTCTTATATAGTTCTTATAAACTTACTCTTTCTTGTGTGCATATTATCATACGAGCATATATATTGTACATATGTACATTTATTAACATACTTTCACGTTTATTGGATTTCTAATAAAAACTTATCATTTAATTACTAATCAATACAATTCAATATAGGATTAATATAGAATATTTTAGGTCCATAAATTCGAAGGTAAGTTATTATCTACGAAATGTTCAAACTTTGATAAACGTCGTATATTCAAAGGTTCTTTTTTTTCCTTTTTTAATGAATACTTCATAGATTTATAGATTCAAAAAAGATTGAAGTATTTTTGATACTTTAATCGTAACATTCAGCGAAGTATATACGTGAGGAATAACGGCAGCTACGCAGGCATCTTTTCAAGAGAAAGAGAGGAAGAGTATTTTGTTCGTACGTGTTTCCCACAAAGAATTCTGAACACGTAGCACTTCAACAGTAACCAATACCTGCGTTAGATCAACCATTAAAATGAATATTTCTGAAATCTCTGGAAAGAGCATATACAGATGTCTATCGGGAATATGTACCAACGAACGAGATTGGCTTTCGCGTTTTTCCTTATTTTCATCTCTCTATTCGCAAAAAATCTCGGCTACCGACTGAACAATTCCCTGTGAGGCTGTCCGTACTGGTCTCAGTCCGAGAAGCGTACGATGCAGATCAATTTCTTTCATTTTTATTTTTATTTTTATTTGTTTTTTTTTTTTATCCTTCTTTCGTTCCTCTGTCTCTCGTTTACCGTAAAAATGAAATCTCTCGAAGCACCGTATCTAGTTAAATATACTTTAAATTAATGACGAAGACTTCGAGTAATTTGTTTAGTTCGTAATAAGAAAGAATTGTTGAAAATTTTCTACAGATACTTATTGTTACTCGGGTATCATATTATAAACTTATATGCTGCATTTCTACGTTAAATATTTTATACTAGGTATACAGATTTGGAAAGTAGATTCGTATTATTACTAATAAACGTGTTTAACTCGAACGAATCCCGATCGTCTCTGTTGGAATAAAAAAATTGTCAAGTCTTATCGATTTTGAATACGAGACAAATGCAACACGATTTTATTGTATTATTGATCGAAAGAGAGAGAGAGAGAGAGAGAGATATATGGTAAGTATTAATAATTTATTATAAATATATTTTGCAAAATAGTAAGCTCACACAAGATCTCAAAAATAAACTAACTCATCATACTTGTATAAACAAAGGAAACACACAAGCTTTACATATTTTTTAATAGAGAAAATACGAGAAAGCATATTCAACGCGTTCTTTGTGGTCGACGTTCGTTCTTTGACTTCCATTTCTCGTGGGGGAAAAGATAGAAGAATGGACGCGTAAAGGATATAAGCTGGAAAAGGATACGAAAGGTGGAGATAGAAAACGCATATGAAGCGCATAGCCGAGATGCATGTTAAACAATGGCTCCTGGTTTTGTCGCATCACCTCGTTACGCCTTTTTCTGCTTTATTTTTTATATTATTCTCCATCTTCTTTTTTTCTTTTCATGTCCGATAGTAGTAGGTACGGAGGAGTTTCTAGCTGGATCCATACGGAAGAAGAAAACTACGTTTTCCAGAGAACCGCGTTCGAAGCTTTTGCTCGGAAAGAAAGAATTTTGCCGAACGATAGAACGTCTGTGATAAGAAAAGAATGAGAACGGTATTAGATAGAATTGAATAGTCGAATGATGCTAGCCGACCAACTATAGTGTTCGTTTTCCTGTTCGAACAGAATTCCTGTCCTTTGAGTCGGAAAGTAAAACGAATTCACGCGCCTGATATTTGTTCTTTGATATACCATGTTGGAATTTCTAATAGTAGTTTTCTAAATTCATTTCTACAAAAGATGAAATTCAGGATTGTGTTATAGATTGGTAGATAGATAGGTATATAGTCGTTGATACACTCTTATAGAAACTTAAAGAATAACAATATTAATAATAATAATAATAGTTAGAGATTGTTGATGCGACCGATGCCTTAATCGGTACTCTAGTGAATAGTAGTGAATCGAAAAATGCCCTTACGGGTGAWRTCGAGATTCTTTATTAATGGGAAGDAGGATAGGAAAATAAAAACACAATAACAACTTTATTTGAGCCCAGTCAGTACTAAAAAGTACGCTTTATTTGGCTCGTCAGGGAAAAGCCTTTCGGCATAAAAACCCTGGTTGAAACGATGAAGAAGAGTCCACAAATCAGGATAATTCTGGCCAAGTACAAGACCGTCTTTGTCCCTTGTCGCTGGCCGAACTTAGATGATATAGTATTGCGCAATGCAAATAATTCCCCTCGAAGTAGTTTCTCGCAAGTCTCAGCTTTCTAAGATAGATGAATCTCGAGCGATGAATCACGCGTGATGAACCAAGAGTGCCCAAATGATGAGTGCCAACAGACGCAAGAACGCGCTGGGTTTTATACCAAAAAGCGATGCAATGCTGCACCAATCACCGAAAAGCCCGAGCATAACACGGATGTCGATACATGTGATTGGCATATTAAATGTGGTGGGAGAACTCAAGCTAGAAGAAAGAAGGAGCCCTTACAAGCATCTTAGCGCTACCGTGGCTACCACCAAAAACAAAGACACTGCTTTGTCGAGCGTGTCTCACGTCTCGACAGGGCCGTACATGCCCCGGCGCTTCGCCCTACTCACTCATTGCGTAGGATACGCAACAGAGATAATAGCAGTTTAAAGGATAGAATGAGGTGGAAAATATAATATTCTTTCGAGGAATACCATTGTAATTAAAAGGCACAAAGAATGTCGTAGGATGTAGGATGGTCTTCTTTGGGAGGCTTAAATTATCATTTAAAGTTTTACCACATCAGAAGTCCCCCGGTTGCAGAACTATGAATAAGCGCGAGTCGTTTAACGGTGCCTACGACGTTTTCCTT